CATATATAGTGAAAGACGAAAGTGTCCTTCGGTACTTCGCTATTGTGACCAAAGTAAAATCACCCAGAACGATACTAAAACGATGAAACATTTTCATTTTCACTTTAAAGGAAAAACACTGCAGTATTAGGTCATAGGTGTGGGGCTACGTATGCATCTGTCGATTGGTATGGTACATAATATTGATTTATACAACCAGTTTTTTTATTATCATTATTCTGAAACTATTAAATTAACAGCATCGTAAACAAAATTTAAGCATCGAAATAAATACATTTTCAATTGACTGGCGGGTGGATGTGAACAGTAGTTGAACAATAAAATATCCACACAATATATGTGCACCGAGAATAAAGAAGGTGTGGTAAGTCGGAGGTCCGGATATTATAGAAATATTATACGAATTTACGACACAATCCGTCAAACTCGAGCTACATGCCGAGTGCATTGTATAATCTATAGATTTAGTTTGTGTCGAAAATTAATTTTCTAAACACATATCCGTCATCATGTTGCGCGACGATGAGATGTTCGTTCTTCGTGAGGTTCTTCGTCGTATAATAGCCGTACATAGCTAAATCGTTTTTTTTTTTTCAATTCAGATCTATTGTTGAATTTTTCTTTGTCGGCGGTCTCAATCAAAAGATTATGCTTGGTTCCAAAACAAAAAAAAAATAAAAATAAAAAACCGAAGAATGAAATAATAGGTAAAACGCCCAGATTTGGATAAGCGGTAATTATCTCGGGCGGACCGCCACTCGAAGAGCCACGGGGAACCTGTCAAACGAAAAAAAAAAACGAAATAAAATAATCGTCAGCGAACACCGTATAAACGACCACACACCCACACACACACACACACACTACACGACCCATATGAAGTATAATTATTGTTATTTTATATATTACATACTAATAATATATAAATATACCTTAAGTATCTATTACAAATTACCCTGTATAGTATTGTAGCATTAATCGTCCAATGCCATAGTCGCCGCGGATATAATATAATAAAAAAAAAAAAAAAAAAAAATATATACCCTCCTCTGTAGCATATTATAGCAGCAGAATCGCGTATTGCTTGGCAATGACCTATCGTCGTCGTCGTCATTGTAAGTATTAACGCCTATTCATTAAATAGCATAATTTGTGCATCGCTTATACGATAAACGAACAATTATTACACATTCAAACGCTTATAATAATATCACAGCATATAGGTACCTACAACATAAAGAGACATAATAAAATAAGACATCGTGTCGGATGGATTAAGGCCCCTGATCGAGTGTTTTTAAAAAAACATTTGTAATTTTTCAGCAACCCTCATAAATAATAAATTAGAATTACCATAATTTTAGTTTCTAAGAAAAACTTAACATCGTCTTGAATAAAGACAACGCCGCGTTGTAAGTTCTATTTTCATCTCCTAGATATTGCCACTTCGAATTCTGATGAGGGTTGGAAAGTTTAAGGTGAATCTGTCTGGCGTCTGTGGCAAAATATATTATACTGTTATTGTCATCATTATGATTATATCAAACAAGTACCGATTATACCTTAAACGAGGCTGATTTATTTTGGCGTAGTTCTGTTGTTTTGAACTCCCTTGTAATGGCCACAACATTTAATTACTGCACCCACCGTTATACCTAAAATATGTTTGCTGTACGTGATCTTCAAACATAATGTGTTAACATTATAGTGTTTTTTTGTAGATCAATTATTGACTTCTGAGCGGATTATTTTTCAAAACATCGTATCATCGTAAAATTAAGCGCAAACCAAACGTTAAGACTGCATTATTTTTAAGTGACCTTCAAAATAGAAAAATTGGTACACTTTTAAAATAAATTTAAATGGTGCGCTTCTGGAATAACATTTCATCTATACAACCAATTTCTATCTCCACTATCGTCTTTGCGTAGCATGATCTTAGTAATATTGTAATATCTTGACCCGGGTGCAAAATTTAATTTAAAAAATGTAGGTTCCAAAAATGTGTACTCAAATAGGTGGGTACTCAACGTGGGTGCGTAGATAAAATATAAATATATATTGCGTGCGATGATCATGTGTCACACACTCACACACATAATTATACTGTACACGCCTAAAATAAAACACAATATAAATATAAAGGTCATCAAACAAATAATATTATTGTGTCCACTGGTGACAAACTTTTCACGATTTTCCTGGGGCTCAGCCGTTGAAGCTTCCTACGCCGCTGATATTGTAGTACCTACTACGGTGCATAGAGATAATATGACGTACGATAGTCGATCTGCACACCCGCGAACGCGGCCCACCCACACGGGAAACAACGTGTGAGGCCTAACGAAAAAAGCCAAAAGGTCACAGCAAAAAAAAGGTCAGATGGAAATCTCCGGGCGTGTAAACAAAGTACTTTGTTAGGTACAGTCGCCGACGCAATACGTTTATAATAATATACGTACCACGTCGGTTATAGTCAATCTCGAACAGTCGCCCGTCGCTAGTTCGCTAAAATGGGATAGCGTTTTTGTTGTTGTTGTTTTTTTTTTCATCTTAAACGGTCCTACCTCGAGGCTTTAGACAATTTATCACGTAGGTATTTATTTGTCGGTATTCGTGTCGGCATATTATATAAATCGGTTTATGGTTATTTTTTTTTTTTTTTATATTTAATTATATTAGAACGATTTGTTTTCAAAAGCATACTATATAGTATTTTACGAAAAGTTACTTTTAAGGAGTGCGTACTATACAGTTACTGCAGTATTCATGCAAATATTTAAAACGGTATTAATAAATAATAATATGTGTTATGCACATACATAATAATATTATAGTGCGTCTCGAGCAACTGAAATTCACTTATAATGGGTATATAATATCAATTACCATATATTGCTGGTATATTGCCCGTAGAATTTTAAAAAAATCTGAAAAAATCATGAAATATGACTTAAGGTAATAAATTATTTATGTATAAAAAAAACTTTAGAAAATAAAATAAACACTAACAGTCTGTTAAAATTTAATACGTTTTTAGTAATTGAATGTTAATATTTTATTAGGGTTCTAGACAAATTAACATTTTTAAAATCAATATTAAATTTGTATAGTTACCCTATTACTTTAATTTTCAAACAGTGAAAATGGGTGAAAAGATAATTCATACACAAACAAACTTGTTTTAATTCAAATTTTAAGTATAGAAATATCGGCGTGCTTTTACCGAACAAAATATTACTATTTTAGTTTAATAACTGTTTTTAAACAATTATCGACAATCGATTTCATAAACAAATTATATCGTTATATACCAGGGGTGGTCAAACTTATTTTGATAAAGATCTACTATATTTTTTCTTTTAGGATCTACAAATGTAAAAAAATTATTTATTATTAATAATAAACATGCTTATATAAATAATAAAATTAAAGTGTTAAGTTATCTAAAATGAATGTTTCATGTTAAATTTTCAAGTATTTTAAAATGTATTAACATTTTACTGTTGATGTAGAAGTGTGTCATTGCACATCATGACCAAGCGAAGACGCTGTGCTAAAGTCTAAACCTACTCCGCTTCTATAAATTATAAATTTCTGATGAGGAAAATTCATTCACACTAACAGGTTATCCGAAACATATGAATTGAAAAAGTGTATCTACTAAATTGCAATATATAAGAATATAAAAAATTTTAACCAAGGGGATGGACTTAGAAATCGTCCAGGATTTCTCCTGTTGGCCACCCCTGTTATATACCAATAATTATTTTAGTACGACACGGAACCTGCAGTATTTAACAATCATCTTAACAATAATTTAACTACATACCCTTATTAGGTATGGTCGTATGGATGCAATTCAGTATTTGATACAGTGAATAAAAAAATGTACAACTTTAAAGAATCATTAATTTTGAGTTTGTTGTTCGTTTCATAATCCTCGTACCGTATCCTTTTTTTACCCACTTATCTACAACCTACTACAATTTATATTAAAATCATTTTTAATGGTAATTTTTTTTTCGTAGAATTTCTTTATAAACAGCATATTGCGTAATAATTGTATATTTTCTTAAGTATTACTTCCATAAAGTACGTTTGTGCACGATGAAATTTAATTTTTAATTTAATAATTAGCCTGTTAAGAAAAAAATACAGTTTCTGTGGTGTATTTAAATCCAATTATAACCAGTTGTTGTGAATAAAATATTATTTTTCAGTGTTTTAATTATTAAAATATTCCAAGTAGATACACAATATTTACATTGTCTACTTTTTCTTTTATTTTTAATTATTTATCCTTTTAGTATACACATCGACATTATTGTGTACAGCAATTAAATATTTTGTTCACAGTTGGTTATCTTCAAAACCTGACGTGTGCCTACATCACAACGAATAAGTGTTCATAATATTATATAATTAAAAATCATAAAATGCAAATTTACATGATAATGAAATTAATTGCTAATGATATTATTAATATACATTATTATTTTAACTTAATTAGATCATAACATATTTATATGTATACTACTGTGGAATTGGCAGATCGACCGTTTTAGCTGTAAACAGACCGTTTTACGAATATCATATAAGTATCTAATGACTAATGAGTAATGACCATATCTCTACATGGTGCCTAGGTGCTCTAAATTTATTTTATGAGGATTTTCGGAAAAAAAGCCTCTGTGGTTTCCGGTGACGTTAAAATGTGCACTTTTCATGATGGGTATAATAATCTTTTTCTTTTATTTTTAAGAAAAGGGAAAGAAAAATTTACAATATTTATAGGAACACTAAAATATACTACGTGATATGGGTAGTAACAAAAATAACTGATTTTCTTAATAACTTAAAATTGTGTACAATTCAAATATAATGTGTAGATGTATTATGTTGATCAGACAATGATAATAACTCAAAAAAGTTTGAAATATAATATGTACCATACCCAAAATTGCAAAGTTCGGTAAAAAAAATAAAAACATACATCACTACTGTATAGCATCCAACTGTTTGATTAGATTGACGATCTCGGGCGCTGTTGTATAACGTTTGCAATATTTATATTCCAAACGCTGATCAATGTAAACGGAAGCTCTAAAGTGTCTATCCAGCACCACAGCCTTGTCTGCGAATGGAGTGCCGTACGTTTCGATGGACATGTGTGAGATGACGTATCTCGGTGGATCGGCGACGACGCTCAAGCTCCACGACGGCATTGATTTCGAAATTTCTTCCATCGTGTCCTTCAAGTTGGTTTTTTCGTAGGCCACGCTCTCCCTGATTGGTTCGATCTTGTACTGGACACTTGCAGCGCCGTCCGAGTTCCAACCCCATTTGCGTTTCCCCTTGTCCGTCATCGACACGACGGGCGATACCGTAACCATGGACATAGTAACCACATCCGAGTACTTTTCGCGGAACACCGGGACGGACTCTTTTTCGATTATGTTCCGGAGCGTATCGGGCGGGACGTTAAAACGATTAGAAACCAGCGTGACTTGGCGATCAAACGTTTCGTACGGTTGCGGTTCGTCCGCGTCAGGCAAAACTTCGTCGTGTTCAGATGTCTTCGTGGCCACAACTTTAATCGGTTCCGTACCATCATCCACCGACAAACAGGAATCATTACCGACGATTTCGACGACATTGGTCGTTGACGATTTATCGATTCCAATCCGTTTCCTTTTAGGCTTTGACGGTCCATCGTCGCAGTTGTTACTCTCAGACGTCGGTGTACGATCGGCTTCGTTTAGAGTCGTCGAATCTGATTCGTATATGTCGAGTAAATTTTCAAAGGGTCCAGGAAAACCCTTACCGTTTTTCTGTCGGTCGACCTCGTTTTCACAAGACTTATTGACTTTGTCGGCGCCGTCTCGTGAAAATAGTTGTAGTTCTTTCTGCAGCGACGGACGACCACGTTTCCGAGTCGACTTCACTAAGTCATCGCTTTTTTCGTGTTTCGATCCTAACCCGTCCTCCTCTGCAGTGTTTTCATTATACACTGTTGACTCGTTTTTAACACGAGTAACATTAGGACGTTTAAAAGAATCTTTATTTTTAAAGGTTTTCGGTAAACTCTTTACTTGCATTTTTTTCCGGTTATCTACAACAATATTTAGAGAAGGTTGAACATTCGACACATTGCTGGGTTCACTCGAAGCGTTTACTGTAGACATTACCGAATCTCGATTATTGCATTTTTGATAGCCATTCTTGGGAGTCACATATATTTCTGATTTGGTTTTATTTGATCTCAGAATCTTGGATTGTTTCCCAGCCTCGTTTGAATTATCTAATCGATCAGTGATTTTAATGACAGAATTATCTTGTAACGAACGTTTTTTGGAAAGTCTTGCAGATCGTTTTAATTCAGTAGTTTTACTACTCACATCAGTATCATTTGAATCCATGGACACGATATTAACACTCTTAATTACATCGGTATTTAATGGTGGTATTTGCAATATGTCGTCACAAGGAGTCAATGATACAGAACAGTTTATACCTGGACTGTTCATAGTTTTGGTTACAGTTGAAGATTGAATTTATGATTGGTTTATCTAAGTTAAGAAAACAAAATTTCACTATTAATCAGGTTACTTATACCAACTTTAAAAATTACAGTAAACATCTCAGATGTTACATCTGTATACATAAGGAACTTACGATGACATTTTCCAAACCCATTTATACATAGTTTTCGGTGATTTAAGGATATTGTCTGTATTCCATGTATATACCAAATTATCTAAATGTAAATTTAATTAATTAATAAATGTTAATTTATACTAAACATTTTTGTTGTATTTTATTATCTACGTTGATTTATAGATTCTAAATAAATTATATATAAAAGAGTAGTATTAAATATTTTAGTTTCAACTAAACCCCTTTTTTGTACTACCTACATATCATTTGGAACAGCTAGTATATTTATTATTATTTTTTTTATACTGATACAATGATACGAATTTAACACTTACATAATTAACATCGTAATGTTTTAAAAGTCATCTTTTAAAATTTAAAGTTTAAGCATTTAAAAAATTCGTATCTTCTCTATCGAAATAATTGCATTAATTACATTTTTTTAAAGTTTAAATTAATGTAAACATATAATATAAATAAAAACAAAGATTATTCATTCTACAAGTCATTATCTTTAAAAATTAGATAAACTCAAAACACAACAAACGTATAAATTAAATTAAATTTCACTTTGGTTTATTTTTTTTAGTTCTTATGCTCGCAGACTAAGATATATCTTATGAGTCATGATTTATGACAGTAGACCAATACCAACAAATACAAAAAATTTAACATCACGCTGCTGTTTAGTTTCTTCATTCTTTGAATGAAATAATTTTAGAATTGCGCATTTCATAATGTAGTTTATAGATACGGATGTTTTATTAACAAAAAGAAGAATTTTTTTTCATCAATTAAAAATCTCAAAAACCAATTATTATTATGGTAGACTAATGTCTGCAGTTTTACTTGGTGTTATTAAAATAGTTTACATTATAATTAATAGATCATACAACTATAATAATATAGTCGGTGCTTAATGTTTTAAATGTCGATAGTTTTTTTTATTTGACTTATATACAAATTCAAAACTATATGAATACCAAATATATCTAAACTCTACATTTTTTTGTTTTTACTTCATTATAATTGCCGAAAATACATTTCAAAAGCTGCCATGACGCGGGCCTAATGCTTCAGAAAAGAAAATAAAAAATCAAATAGGGATGATTATAATAGCATAGGCCATAGACTTGTACGCCCATTGTATGTAATAGTAATGAGGATAATCTTGTGAAAAATGTCAAGCCTTACCCATACAAATTTAACATATTGTTATTAGGTAATTTTATTAACGACAAACACAAAAATAAATTTAAAAAAAAACAATATATTATTGTAAAATGTCTATATTATTATTCATTAGCCCAATTTTAATTTAAACTATGTTTACCTCCTTCTCCCCTCCTAGCTTAATATTATAATATGCATAGATAAACAATACCGCACCTATAGTTTTAAAAAATAGAAGTGTATTGAAACACGCTAAACGTAAAATAAATTAGAAACAACCAATAGCATATATTAAATACCTAGTATTACCATTATTGGTTTTAAATAGTATTGATTATAAAATACTATTTATAATCAATTATATTGCTTCTGTACATCTACTATCGTTTGACTGTGAGTGTTTTATAGTTAGTGAAATCAAATGCTTATTACATCGATATTATAGAGAATATTATTATATTGTTTGATTGAAATTTGAAACCCCAAAAATAGATTGAACGACGTCATATTACTTACTATACCTACGTGAACAACCGTTAAAAATATTACAAAATCTTTTTTGGATGCGTTAGATCGGTGCAAGCTATAAAATATGCCATTCTGATTTGCAAAGTAAGCAGTAACCGCCTATTAAACTATAAAAAAAATGCCGAGTGTAGGTAGGTATACGTTTAGTATACATTTATATAAAAAATTACATATGTAAAAACTCTGCTGATATTTTAAAAGCAAAAAAAAAAAACGCCGCGAATAACCGTGTGGACTCCGTGTGACCACAGCTCCTCCTCGGGTAAGTATAGAGGTATACAAATCATTAAGCTAAAAGGTTTTTATGATGTTTGGAGCAATAACGGTGGCGGGTGTGGAGGTGTTATTTCGGCGGCCTCCTGCAGACGTACGGGAACCTCGTAAAAATTTACGATCGCCAAATTCGCCTTTATATAAATTGTCTGCTGTTGCACTGCAGTGACAACTGGTTGCATAGCTCAGATACTTGTGTATCGATGGACGTGGATACCGGTGGCGGTAATTCGTGGGGGGTAAGGCAGACACGATAACAATAAATAAAAGTACCTACAGTATTTGATCCAATCGAAGTGATGACACGTGAGCTGCAGAAACGAGTATCAACTAGTTGCGTTTTTTTTGTTTTGTTTTACTTTGCCCCGTGAAGTATTTAATTCACTTCGTACCATATAGTTAGAAATAACTGAAGGGAGTTAAAATAACCGGATCTTAGAATCATGGTATATTATATACCTACATTATAATGTGTCTCGTAACTCGTTTAATAATTACAGATATAATACACCAATACCTTTCTACCTACATAACGCACATTTTTAAGTCTTTTTAATCCGTTCGCCGACAGGAAGAATTAATAAAAGCGATGTATTACTTTTTCTTATTTTCCCAATTATATTAAGACACGAGCAAATTAAAAAAAAAAACAAACGTCAATAATTTACTATCATTCGTTATGAATATTATAATATCATTAGATACTTACATGTATTTTTAAATTCTTAATGTATCGATACGAATAGGTAGACGCTTGAATAAAATGTCATAGTCTTATTTTAAGCACACTTCTATGAATGTATATTTTTAATACTTAATTATATTATATTATTTCTGAATTACTCTGATACTATATGATATAATTTAATACGTATCGTTATGGTTAATAATATAGAGTCGTCGTCCGAAACCACGGATGACAGAGTGTACAATGCGTGGATGTAGACAGCCGGTCGAGCAGATCTATGGCAGTAAATCACTCACGACCACAATCAACCATAGACCTATAGGTCCATGCAATCAACGGTGATACAACGGTTTCAACCACGTTGATAAAATATTATCTTAGTTGGTGGTTTCAACTATAATGGTATAGGTAGGTACTATGGTATTATAGTGATCTACGCGTGCACAACGGCTACAGCAAAAAAACAGAAGAACTGCAGACAGAAAAACTACGAATTTTTTTTTGCTGTTAATTTATTTCCTATTATAATATACTAAATACTTAATCCGTAAACGTTAAATAATGTTTATAAATTATAATTTATTAACCGTGTACTTCCGAAATTAAAATATAGGTAGGTATTATGCATTTTAGAATGTTTGAGTATAACATATTTTGAGGTTTGGCTAATTTTAATTATTTCATAGTCAATTCCGATGGATACAGTAAAAACCTAAAATGTCAAAAGTTGTTTTTATATAATACTAGCTGATCCCGTGCACTTCGTTTCCCGTTAAATGTACCAACTCTATATGCCTCAAACTTTGTTCAATTCATTAAATAAAAAAAAAATAATAATATCATCAATAGTAAACTATAGATTTTTCTTTACTAATCTAAAACATAAATAACATAATAACTATAATCTAAACATTTTTTTCTACCGGACGATTCGGGCCAACCGTCGAGTAGAAACGCTGGTTTTGGACATCAGGGAATGTCCGACTTACAGACATACTGCACTGAGGACGACGAGAGGATATTTTTGGCAGACTGTCGGACCAGGACACCTAGCGGCGGCCACCGAGCCACCACCTTGGAGGTTCTCGTTGGGCCGCGACGACGGCCCGAGGTGTACTACAACAAGCGGCCGATCCAAGCCGGCAGTTCTCTCGAGAGGAGGATGCTCTCGACGGCGATTTCTATGGCTTGCAGCGGCGACAGCAGCCTGCACGGGATCGGGAAGCGGCAAGTGGAGGACGAGTCTGGAAATCAGCCTTTGCCGGAGGACCACCAACTCGGAAATGCTACCGGCGTCCACGAAACCGGTCCGAGTGTTCGTTCTGGAGTCAGGCAGGCGGCTGGCAGGGTGGTTCGGACTAGAAGCTTCAGCAGAAAAGCTAAGATCGAGGTGCGGCCCGTGCGTGCCGGACCCGGAGACAGTGACATGAGGAGGAGGAAGATCTTTCGGAGGTGACGGTGAAACTGATAAAAGGGTAAGATGGTTTGATGGCGATGGCAGGTATGCTGAAATTATTAACAATTTTGACGATTTTTCGACATACTGTTATTTGGTGTACTATATAATAAGTCGCAACACTCTTAGTTCATAAATACTGTATGCTTGTAACTTACGTTATAATATAATATGTTGTTTTGTCGTCTGTTTGATTGGTAATTGGTAGCATAGTTAGTATTTGATTTTGAGTGTGGATACTTGTTAGGTTGATGTATAACGGCCGGCTTTTGCTGTGAGCCGTGAGGTATAAATTTTCTCGCTTCTCTGCCAGGAACTGCCACGAAACTGCCACGTCTCTTCTTACTCCTTTCAGTTTCATCGTCACTCCGTTTGTACCTCCTCAATTTCTTTTGACTCTGTTGTCACCATCTCCCGGTCCCGACACCTGCAACTCTGGCACGCGCACCTCGACATCTGCAGCAGGCTTTCTAGTCCCGTTCACCCGGCCGCTTGCCCGCCCCGACCACAGCAGAACGAACACTATCCTCGCTCACGGGAAGGCCAGTTTCCCGGACGCGGGCAGCATTTCCATAACATTAGGCCTTCGGTGGTCCTCCGCCGGTGGCAGATCTCCAAACTCGTCCTCGCTGATCCCGATCCTCTTCTGCGGCTGCTCCAAGTGCCGCCTCTGCACGCCATATTTTTTTTTATCCATCTCCGCCGTCAAGCACGTATCCTCCTCTTCTGCCGCCGGCCGTTCGGACCGCATA